ACCTAAACATAATAGATCTTTAGATTTATAACCTAAATTTATTTTTTTGGCATATAGTCCTCAAAATATTGATGGGACATTACCTTTTAGTACCTATAGTTTTTTTAATACATTTTGGTACCTAAACTTTTGAAGTTCTATAAATAGGTCTAATTTTTGTATGTGTAATTAAAACACTCTCGAATAAATGGGTATTCATACCCAACTAATACATATTTAGATTACCTACGCAAACACATCTACTTACTTTCAAAATCATATATACGCCACTCATACCCTTCCCATGATCAATGGGTCTATTTGGATTTAGGTAAATATCATTTATTAGCCAAAATTTTCAAAACAAAAAAATTTGATGTTGACCGTCATATTTCTCAGTCAATATTACTAACAATTCTGCTACAAAAAATATTGTTAGACTAATAGTACTAACAAATCACTATAACAGACCACATAATACATATTCATATGTCATCTGCGCCCCGCGACAAGGCGTGACATCTCCACCTAATATCTACGAAACATGAAGTAGTTAGTTAGCCCACCTAATACCATTCCTAGAAATTGGAATATTCCAAATCCTCTAACTTAGCAACTTTTTCCAGAGCTTCCTCCAATTTTCATTGACAGAGGTCCCAAATTCACTATGACAACTGAACTTGCTGAAAAACTAGTGGAGAAGCCACAGAGAAGCACAAGGGAAATGAGACATGCAAAATAAGAAAAGAGGAGCCACTACGGATGAAGCAGAAGGGAAATCAAAATATCATACAAGAGGCCTTACGTGTAGGGGAAGACGAGAAGAGTAAGAATACCACGTCGGTCGAACAATGAAAAGATGGTTGATTTTTTCAGTACTTGGGTCTTCTTAGGTTGGGCTGAAAGGTCGCAATTTTAAATTGTTGGGATTTTTTCCAAGATTTTGGTCAATATTAAATTGTTGGAGCTCATTAGGGTTGCTTGGTGACTTGTGAGCCGAGCTAATGGCTAAGTTTGGGTGGGTTAGTGGTTTTCTTATTGGTTAACTAGTAATAGATGCATCAGTTTTCGTTCTAATCAATACATCAATACCTCCAACCAAACACCGATATGCTTTTTTCGTATTGTTGTGGATATTGTTCACGTATACCAAATTTCTTGAATAGTAAGTCACATATAAAAATCCAATTGAAAAAAAAACGTTTAAAAGAAGAAAACACGACTCATGCATAAATTCCGTCCGAGCCAATAGAATTCACTATTTCTTCTTAAGGAATTTAATTCCCCTCTATGGTACCCAAGGTTAATGGAACTATTCCTCTCAGGATAGAACGGACGTACATTTTCTGGCGTACCGGTACTTGAAACCCCAGGAACCATCGAACGCAAGAAACGGCGAGAAGTCATACGACTCTATTTTCTTATGTGTTTGTAGAGAGGAAAAAAATGAAGAAGAAAAAACTGTTTTCTTTCTTTCGACCGAAAATCCTTGTAGGAAAACTCACATCTAAAAATAGAGGGGGTTGTTGCTATTTATAGAAAATTAAGGGGTGTGAGCAAAAGGGATGTGACCCTTCGTGTGGGTGGTTACACCCCAACCAACACATTGGTTCGATTTAAAATAATGAACCATTGCATCGATTCGGCCCATGGTAGTCCGACTGGTTGGTTCACTCCAACTGCCATATCGATTCGGTTCAAATTGATTTGGTTTGGTTGGTTATACAAACCAATTTGACCAATTACTAAAAGATTAATCAAATCAATTGACCGAATCCAAGGTCTCCTTCCCATATATCATTAATATGGTATTTCAATAGCTTCTCTTTACTTCCTCATCTTTCATTCCCATTTACACCATTAAAAATCTCAAACACTTATTAAACTGATATTAGTTCATATTTGGTAGAGGCATTAACAACTCAGTTAAACTAATATTAACTGATAACCACCAGAACGATTACCACCCGTAGGTAGAGGCATTAACAACGAAATGGGCTGTTGAAAGGCGGCCTTAAATTTGAAGTTGGGCTTGGGTTTCTTGAGACGGATAACACCACAGTGATCTTTGGGATCAACAACTCTACTGAACCATTGACAGAGCAGGGTCTCCTTACAAATAGATTAGAATAATCCTAGCCAATTGAGGCCAACTGTAGAGGCATACTCTCGTGTCAATTGGACAGGTTTGGGCGGGTTCAATAGGGTTTGGGTTTATCGGGTTTAGGTTCATCGGGTTCGGATCCAAACGGATTGCGGGTTAGTCGGGTTGCGGGTTCATTGGATTCGGGTTCAATCAGGTTCGGGAACATTGGGTTACGGGTTCATCGGGTTTTGGGTCGGGTGGGTTGCAGACGGATCGGGTTGCGAGTTGTTCGAGTCAAAGCATCGAGTAACTTACTTCTTACTCGTTACCAACTTACACATTTTATTACACTAATTTAAAATATTTTTCTCAATTTTTAACCAATTTCTTTCTACCTCGCATATATACTTAATTTTAAAAAAATATAGTAAAAATGTTGAATCAATTTATATAACTTGCTAACTTATTATGTAATTAAACATAATTGGTAAAGTACACTAGCTAATAGTAATGGTTATATAAACATTTGCAACCAAAAGACACCATTCATTATTTATTTGTTATTTTAATATTATTTCAGTAGTAATTGGATTATAGTATCTCGTTTAGAATAAACATGCAAATGTGGTATTTGGGGTGTGGTATTTGGCAAAAACAGAGTGGTAAAAGGAGTTATTTCAAAATAACTCATTGCCCTAATAACTTCAATAAACTGTTTCTAAACGAGTTATTTGTAAAATTGTTCGAATTACCCTAAAAATTGAACCATTAAAGATTAATTATCAAATTTAGTAAAATGGTTGTGACTTCAGAACTAGATTATAGATTTATAGTCCAAGTGCCCAACAAATAATATTCTTGGAGCATTTCAAGTGAAAAATACCCAACCCTAACAACAGAGCACTCAATAGCCCATGCGTAAACTAATGCCAGAGTTCAAGTTACTGGATTTTTTTTCCAAAAAATACGACTAAAAAGAAAAAAATAATAAAAAAATACCACTCATTCTCGAGAAATTCCAAAAATATAACCTTTTCGTAAATCGCATGATGACGCGGTTTTTTATGAAAATCACATTGGCAGGGAGCGGTCTGATAAACCGCGTTGGGAAGCAACTATTCACATTCAAGCCACATGCCCCCAGGGCGGTTTGTATGTATATAATATTTTTTTCGCGAATACAAAATAATAAATCTAGATAGTCTAGTGGATGGAAGCTTGTTATGTGTTTGTTTAGATCATGGGTTCGAATCTTAGTGTAAGCAAACTTATTCAAGGTCTTGCAAGCCATAGGCAATTTGGTCCCGCCTTCATCCCAGAAAAACGTCGTTCGACGGTCATAACTTTGTGATCCGCACTCCGAACGTCATGAATTTTTTTTCATTTTGTATAATTTTTTAAGGACTACAAAAAGCCAAACATTTTGGTATTGCCTAGCACTTCATTCGCCTAGGCGTTGTGAGCATATCACAAATTAAAATTCCAAATTGATGGAAGGCATTATGGACAAATCAGTGGTAGTTTGGGATGATGTCATTTTGGGGAAGACAACTGTCTTATTCTGCCATTTTGTCTACTAGTTATGCTTAAGCGTACCTTCAATTTCCTAAGCACACCTCACAAGTCACAACACAATCCTTTGATCAAAATTGAGAGGAATTTTTGTGATTTTAAGGGTTCCATTTTCGGTAAAACTATATGTTAGAGCTTCGATGGTTTGAGGTTAAAAAGTTGAACAGGTCGTGGGTCAACCACAGTCCACCCGCACCCACCCAATCTTTTGTGGATCACCTATTTTACAACACACAACCACCTACATGATAATGAGTCGATCGATTGCGAGTGAATTTGGGTGGATTTGTGGGTTAACAACATATATTTCATATGTGGGTTGGATGATTGCGGATGATGGGTGGTTGGGTGAATTCAGTAGGTTTACAACATATATTTCATATTATCACATAATTTCAATAATTTTAAACTTAAAATGAAAGAAACTTTCAAACTAGATAACCCTCAATCCACAATTCAAGTGAATAATTAATTTTACAATATTGGTATTGGTAATTGTCCACAAATTATGAAAATATTAAAATGATGAACATGGTCCGAGCCTTATAATAACCAAGGTTTAAGAAGGCACTAGGCATAAGACAAAAAAAAAATCTTGCTTAGCGCCTCATTCGCCTAGGCGTTGTGAGCATATCACAAATTAAAATTCCAAATTGATGGAAGACATGAAGGACGAATCAGTGGTAGTTTGGAATGGTGTCATTTTGGGAAAGAGAACTGTCTTATTCTGTCATTTTGTCTACTAGTTATGGTTAAGCGTACTTTCCATTTCCTAAGCACACCTCACAACACAATCCTTTGATCAAAATTGAGAGGAATTTATGTGATTTTAAGGGTTTTATTTTCGGTAAAACTATATGTTAGAGCTTCGATGATTTGAGGTTAAAAAGTTAAGCAAATCGTGGGTCAACCACAGTCCACCCGCAACCACCCAATCTTTTGTGGATCACCTATTTTACAACATACAACCACCCATAGAAACCACCCACATGATAATGGGTGGATCGATTGCGAGTGAATTTGTAGGTTAAACCATCCAATACTCATCCCTACCAGAATCTTTCTTTTATATATTTTTTATAACATGATTAACAATATAATTAACACTTTCAAAGATATCCTTATGCTCGTTGACAACAACTAGCCACAACAAGGTGACACCACAAGTACAATTAAATAGTAATGTCGATAAAGTCATGTAAATAGTATCTATTAACAATTTGTAAATAACGTCATCTGTAAATAATGTCAGTTGTGTCGATCAAACAACTGAAATCTATCATCCCCTCACCGTTAACATAGTATCCGGACCCACACGAGTGGATTAGATGGAAAATTTCAAACTTAGCATGATCAGAATTGGCATGGGAAAAGGCCTTTACTACAAAGCAAAAGTCGCTGCCTCACTTTTCCAAATGAGATACGGATAAGTAAAGCAAAGCACTTGATCAATTTGAGTAGTGCTTTTCTTTGACAGCCTTTTTCCTTTTATCCTCCATGAATGGGGCCGTGAGGTGACTCACTGGCCACTGCACATAGTTTGGGAGACTAAATCGGCCTATATTCCTCAAAACCTCTTTTCATGCGCAAAGAACGGAACACAGGCAAAGTTCAAAACTTTGCTGAGGCAATTCATGACAGAAACCAGAAAGGGCACAAAAAGATCAGAAAAGATAAGAGGGTTACTTACAACTTACAAGGGTGAACAACACCACCCACTCTCTCCATCCTGAAATTGGTGGCAGGAGGAAAGGCATCTTTGAGCTCTACTTTTGCTCTTTTCTTTACACATAAATCAACCCAACTCAAAAGTCTTTAAGCATAACACTAATGCTAATCATGAATCTGCTTTATCTCAAGAACATGAACTTCGATCAGATGTCTCATGTTCGAAGCTTGGAAATCATGATCGGTATTATGTTAAGAATTCTAAAGCTATGCTCCAAGAAAAGTTGGTTTTGATCCTACAGAGGAAGCAACCAGTCATAAAAATGAGTTCTTTTCTTGCTGCTGAATCAACAGAATGGATATGGAGAGAAAAAGAGAGCATACCAACAGAACCATCTCTTCACCTTCTACTATTTACAAAGTCAGCTCCTGTAAAGAGGCTGAGTTAACCACAAAATGACAGCCTTTGGTTTATTTCATGGAGGAACAAATCATCAAGTGTAAACTAAAGAAAGCCAGAGAAGTTTCTCCTTCTGAGGGTGGGGTAAGGCAAAACTCCATGGTGCGGGGGGAAAAAAGAACCCTTATCCATTCTAGCTACCCTCCTGGAATGTTTGAGAACGTGAAAGAGCAGCCGGGTTAGCTTCCAGTATGTGAGCAGATTCCTGAACAGGAACCTTCCCTTCCCCTTTGCTCTGAAAGGTCTTAAAGATGCTACCTTTAGTCACAAGCACACCCGGTTCCTGTTTCAGACCTAATGCAGACCATAGAGGACTCCTCAATGCTTCGTTTGGGTCGTCAATCCGGAGTGTCTTTGGAATAACTATTGACTTCTCCACCTTCTCTTCATCATCAAGACTCGTGTCCCTACAATGCTTGCCAAGGGTTGGTGTTCCATTCCCTGAGCTGCAGCTTGTGCTAGAAGATGATGGAGAGTGACAACCATTAGGCCACACGGGCATACAACTTAGATATGAAGCAGGAAGAAAATGCAAAGGAACCCCAGGTGGCGAGAAACCAGGTACAGCCAACATAGGTGGAGTAGGACACCACTGGACTTGATTTGGATCAGTGGAAGCCACACTGTTCCAACTCCAAGGCACAATCAATGGTGCCACAGGGAAGCATTGCATGGGATGATGATGTGCTGCTGAGCTATTTGGGTCTTTGGAATGTGCTGATGAATCAACTTGATCTTTTTTATGCTCGACGTTCTCTGGCGTCTCGTCCATAGAAGGCGGCCCACATGACGTTGTATCTCCTCCATCACCAAGGTTCACGTTCTGCATCGATTCACAAAGCGGTGCTTGTTCTGGACCAAACTTGAGGACCATCCCATTGCTGGGTGAACAAGACATCGAAGCAGTTGCAGGTTCAGGAGGCTGCTGATCATGAGTTTCCACCCGGGTAACAGACATACCATCATGAGAGACCATTATCTGGCGGTACTGTGAGGCCAAGTGTTTGTTCTTTCTTCGTCCAGCCCCAACGGGAACATTCCTCATCGTACCACCTGCTGTCCAGTATCTCTGGCAGTTTTTACAGAAATGCCGAGGTTGGTTGACATTGTAGTTGTTGAAATAGCAGAATTTGGTCTCCAAACTGTTGCAGCGAGGGCATGGGATCACCTTGTCTGGCTTCTTCATGGCTTTCTCTTGATCACTGCTGCTCTCCATCTGATCATCCTTAGAACCATTTTGTGCCTCCTTGACTTGTCCATCGCAGTTACCTCTCTCTGCAGTTTCTTGAAACGTTGAGGACTGATCTGGCTCCTTAGAGTTGCATTCACTTGAGGGGCTTTCAATTTCCATGTTTGTTTTCTCATCTTTGTTGCAGCTATTAGTCTGGTAGATAGCATACAAGGCATCAGAACAACCGTATTTAGTATCAAAACAGATTGTATACTTTGCTTAACGGATTGTAATTATGGTCTAATCTAGAGGTTAAAGTTATCTTTCACATCGTAATCACAGTTTCATATACTATGCTTAACTGATTATTAAAACAAAACACTTGGAAACTGATGGCTAGTATCAACTTCACCACAACAAGATGGGGGGGAAAGCTCAAAAGGGAGAGCTTTTAGCGGTATGCTTTGTCAATAACATTTGGAAAAGGAGAAAAAACAGTATCAACTACCATTCAAGTTTTCTGCAACACCAACACAGCACTGAAAACATGAACCTCATTCAAAGCAGCAAACACCAAAAGAAAGGAATGGCTAAAATGGTAGCTAATATTGGTCTTCACTTGAGAGTTGAGACAAAATGAACGGAAACAGCACCAAACGACACGCCATTCCCATTAATAAAAAGTAGACATTAATCCCCATGAAAACTATGAAGCTGAGGAATAACCCCCGCCATTTTTTCAGGAACAAGCCCAATCACAAGCAAAGGACGAGAAAACAGAGAGAAGCCCAGTAAAGGAAACAGGGAGGGAAAGAAAACCCAGATACCAAATCTCGAGATTCAGAAGAAGTATGGTCCAAAGCGCATATCTTTCACAAACCAAAGAAAAAACAAAATAAAGAAATCCCACCAGAGAAAGGCTTTTTCAATGCCTGAAGTCAGCTTTTTTATCTTTAGGTTCAGTGACGGAAACAAGGTAGAGCAAGTGATGTACCTTGAGTTCAGGTCTGGCCGGAATCTGGGAATCGGGGAGAGCAATCTTTCTGCCGAATAGCTTGATAGCTGGATCTTTGAAAGGAGGTACTCCTCCATCAGCTGCCATTTTTTTGCTGGGGACTCGAAACGAAAGGACGAAGAAGAAGTAGAAGAACAAGAGCTGCTCCTACTGCTGGTTATTGTGCAACTGAAAGCTTTGAGGAAGGCTGGCTGACACAACAACCAACAAAACCCATATGGAAAAGGGAAAGGCCAAAGGGGGAAAAAGGGAGAAAGAGACGAGCTTTCCTTTTTTTTAATTTTTTTCCTTTACGTTTTTTCTTCTTGGTGGGGGCTGGCTGACTGGCTGAGAAAGCAGGGGAAGAAAAAAAGAGCTTTTGAATATATAAAGTTGGGGTCTTTTTCCTCTCTTCTTTTCTTTTTGATTTCTAGTTAAAGAAACAAACAATGGACACGAAAGAAAGAAAGAAAGCAGAGGAAACCCCTTCCAAGTAAAAGTTCTGTCTCCCGGAAAATGAGACTTGAGAGACTCAGCTTCCCTGATGATGATAACAAAGCAAAAAGAACGTGAAAGGATCAGGGACTCCCTCCACCCCCAACCCCTTTATTTAATCAAATACTATTATTAAATCTTTCCCCATTTTATATTTGCAGTTCTGCACATACTGCATTTAATCAATATCAATACTTTATTCTTCGGATAGTTTAGCAAGTTGGGCAACTTGACACACAAACTTAAAGATAATCAAGTGTACTTATGAAGAGTTCTTTCAAGTTTATCAAAACTCTTGAGTATCAGTTACTCACTGGGGGATTGGTACACTAGAAGATCGGATTAGTGTTCTTCAATAAATATTGTTGTGGATGAGTAGTTGTAGGAAGGTGAAGAAGATCAAAGCTAGCAGCACACAGATGGTGTACATGGATGTAAAATTTTGTAAATGAGTTAAGCTGAGCTATTTATGACCGCTCGACGTTTGGGTTACAAAATTTTTGTTGTTCGACTCATTTACTATCGAGCCGAGGTTGAACTAAGTTTTGTTCAGCTTGACTAGGCTTCATGTTTAGCTCAACTTGTGAGTTGCTTCGTGTTGAGCTCATGAGATGCCTCGATATTATGGCTAGTGAGCCAACTCGACTAACAAATTATGAGCAAATCAATCTATATAAACATGAGATATGTTAATTATATATAAAAAAATCGACTGTGGTTATTTGTTCATTATAATATCATGTATCATACATAACATACTAATGTAATGGAATGTATTTATAAATTATTTTAGACTATTATTAAGGAGTGGAGGTCATCAAGACAAGTATGAACCAAGATTTTGGTAAAAGAATGGAGCCCAAGCTAGGCAAAACTTAACTTAGAGTCATTTGCAAACATAGGGGGAAGTTTGATGGAGGGATTGTATATATTTGAGAATTTATCATCGTCAATATTCTAGTATTGCTCAATTCATTCTAATTTAAATGTGTCGTAAACCAACTAGTCTCAATAACTCGAGTTGTCGAGAGAGCTCAATATATGGATCTTAACCACTTACTTACATGTCCTCTCAAACAAAACCAACTCATTGGCTTGAAGTTTGCACGAGTCCGACATACCATTTTCTTTTAAAACAATGGTTATTACTAGTGATCGTGAAGACTTGAACACATGATTTTAAGGACAAACCAGCCATGATATCATATCACCAACCAATTGGTCTCAATAACTCGAATTGTTGAGACCAATTACTTAAATATGAATGTATTTGGATCTTAACCACTTACTTAAATATGAATGCATTTGTTGTTGTGGTTGTTGAACTTGATTATACTTGGTGGGAGATGTTGTGTGCTTGGGAGTTGTGACACATAATAGTAGTGTTGCTTGTTACCTAACTCTTTTTAGCGTAGATGAGATGATGAATTTCTTAGGGATGGGATACGGTTACAACCCGTGGGGTTGTGTCATTAACAACTCACTTCCTAATTATTGAATATACTCTCTTCTGTCTCTTTTTTTTTTTTTTTCAAATTGATGGTTAGGATTAAAAGAAGGATATTTTTTGAAAGAAAATATTGGGTAAATGCCACATTTGGTCACTGAGATTATTAAATTATGTCATGTTTAGTCACTAAAAAAATTAATATCAATTTTGGTCACTCGAATTACTGAAACATGTCACATTTAGTCACTCTCCCGTTAGTTTAATGGAGTTGGACGGAGGCTAACGGAGAGTAACTAAATGTGGCATGTTTCAGTAATTCGAGTGACATTCATAATAAACAAAAAGTAATTCAAGTGACCGGGGTTGCACGGAGGCTAACGGAAGAGTGACTAAATGTGACATGTTTTAGTAATTCGAGTGACCAAAATTAATATTAATTTTTCTAGTGACTTAACATAGCACAATTTAGTAATCCCAATGACCAAATGTGGCATTTACCCAAAAATATTACAACACCCAATCATTCTCCCTCCCATAGAAATAAAAAAAAATTATAACTTCTCCATCTCTCCCTCCTCCCTCTCTCCAACAGACGGCACCGTCGCTGCCACCGTTGTAGCACTCCACAACTGTCGCCGCCCTCCACCTCCCTCCACCCCCTGTCGTTACCAGCTCTCTATCGCTGCCCTCTTCTAACATCGCCGTCGTGCCTCCTCTCTCTGCCTCTTCTGGTGTGAGTCCCTCTGCCACTATACTCTTCCTCTCCCCCCCTCCCTTTCGTATTTCAGATCAGATTTTTTATAGTGGTAGTGATTTTCATTTGGTAGTGGTATAATTGGATACCACTATCATGTGGTACCTACCGGTAACCGGTAGTGGTAGCGTACCACTACTAGTTACCAAATGGTAGTGGTACCAAATGATAGTGGTATGCTACCACTACCAGGTACCACATGGTAGTGGTATCAAATGATAGTGGGACGCTAGCACTATCAACTACCAGATGGTAGTGCTAGCGTTGTACTGGTAGTGATACTAGTGGTAGTAGTAGCATACCACTAGCGCACTGACGGAGTGATAATTTTTTTGCACGTGGCCGGAGCGAGTCCGATTCAAGAATTTCGTCGAAAAAAGTCTGTTGGTCGGAAAGTCGGCCGGTCGAAGTGGAGTGGTTGTTGACTTGTTGGAAAAGAAAGTGAGAGTTGTATTTATTGTAGGTTTTAAATTTAAAAAAAAATCATGTATTTAATTTGGATTTTTAATTTCCAATCTGTAACTAATACAAAACAAATTAATTAATAAATTCATTTTTTATACCCAAATCAAGTATTGAAATACCGTACTGGCGGTTTGACCAGAAAATACTATACCATACCAGCTGTATTTAGCAGTTGAACCACGATTAAATCACGATTTTAACATAAAATATCCTACCACTGACTTTTTCCGATACAATCTCCGGTACACTTGGTTGTTAATATCAGGACCCATATAGGGAATTGAATGTATCCCGCCCCAATTTCTTAATCCAAGTTGGATGGATGGGGTTTCCTGGTAAAGGCCAAGGCTATCAAAGAGATGAGGTTGGGAAGTCAGCTTGAGAGGAATCTATCGGACCATTTATCACATTATAAACAATGGATTAATTTTCTACCATCAATTAATTAATTAATTTATAAACAACGGAGAAGCAACTTGATCAGGCCCCAAAGTGTGCACAGCATCTTATCTCGTATTAAACAATCCAACCCATCTCCGTAGCAAAAACTAAGATGTGTCACTGATCCTAAACATAGTTAAGATGAGGATGGATGAAATTTAAACATGAATTGGTTGTCCTTTTCCCTAATGGGGGATTTGTAAATGCAAATGACCTTATCAATTTTTAATATTTTTTTCTCTCATATATATATATATATATTAATAAAACAATTGTTTTGCTTCCCATGACCATTATTTTATATGACGCTTGCTCTATTGCATTGGATTAATGATACCTACTAATGGTTTTTGTTTTGGTGTACCAAGTGAGAGATCATTGGTTATATACGCAATGGTGACTTTTCAAATATTGAGAAAAGTTCTAGTCCACATGTAAATTCTTTTCCAAGAGAAAAAACAATTTTGTGAATTCATTCTTTAACTAATTATATATGTACACCAGAATTAATATTTTGTTAAGGATAGGAAGGTAACTTCCTCATTTAACCAATAAAATCAAGGGGTTAATTGCAAGGTTGGTTACTGAGATTACTAAAAAAGTTCATATTTGGTCACCAGAAATATTTAATTTCATTCGTGGTCACTAGAATTAGTTAAATGTTGCAAGTTTGGTCACTCTCCGTCCAACTCCGTTAATTTTTGCTGATGTGGCAGTCAACTCTCATAGTTGACCGTTAAATGTATGACGTGTCAATTAAAAAATATTAAAAAATAATTTTTTAATTTTTAATTTTCCACGTCATATCCAACTATTAAAAAATAAAATAAACTTAAAGCTCTCCGTCGGATTTCTCCCTTCACTCCCGCTGGCGGACTTCTCCCACGAGTTCGCCGGCCTCCGGCTGTTGACCTAGCGCTTCCGCCAAACAACCATCCCGAGCCTCGCGACTCCAACTCCCTCGCCAACGGTTATAGAGACCCAACAGGTTACAGAGACACAACAGGTTCTGGAGTAACCTATCGAGCTTGCAGTTGGTTTCCACTATCAAAAACAAATTCGGCGGACCACTGCCACAATCAGTCGTTAATTTTACCGAGCTTCTGATTCTGGCAGTGAATGGTAACAAGTTATCAGGAAGAATATCGGGAGGGATGGGAAATTTGAAGAAATTGGAATGGTTGCATTTGGGGAACAATCAGTTTACGGGCTTTAGTGACCAAACATGAACCTTTTTGGTAATCTTAGTGACCAACCTTGCAATTTACCCTAAAATCAAGTGTGACAAATCCATTTTGAAATTCAATAAGCAACAAGGCAATTATAATATCAACACACAAAAAATAAAAAAATCCAATATAATCCTTCAATTTCAAAATCTCTCATGTTTAAAAATCCAGCAAGCAAATGACCTCTACGTTTCTAGATATTAGTAAATGAAAATTTATTGTTGACGTATGTCTAATTTAAGGGCTCATTCTTTAAGTATTATCCGTATATAGTACTAATGAAAAATAAATATTAACATATGTCTAATTTAAATTTTTTATTATCCTAATAAAAATAATGAAAAGGGGAAAGCAAAAAGTAAAATACGGAAAAGGAAAAGGAACCACAAAAATAAAATAGAAAAGGAAAAGGAAACAAGGCCAATAACAATGGTGCAAATCTTTCCTTCAATAGGAGGAGAAGCCAGCTGGCGATCCGCGTCAGCAAAGAGGATCCGATCCTGTGCCGGGTTGATAATATAT